TATATATATATATATATACACATATACAGCCTATATATTAGGGGTGCAACGGTTCTCGGTAAAAATCGAACCGTGCCGTTTTCCACACACGGTTCGGCATACACTAGGACCGCGGTTCAACTTAAATCTGACAATGCATCTGTAATATGGTTTGTTAGAGTTCGGCTAATTAATGTTTCTGTTGATGGATACAAATTCTGGCTTCCCAATACATTACAACAAGAGCGATGAGAGACAGAGAAAAACAATATGTGGACAAACCAGTCACTCTTTAATCAATAGGAGTGCTTTATGCTGGAATTCTCAGAACACGCGCAATTATTAAGCTCTCTGTGAAGTAGTGTGTTTGAATGGACAAATTCACACAAAAATGATGTCAAAATGCCCGTCTTGGTGAGTATCCTAGCAGACATAGTCTGCTGAACGTACAGTATCAGTGCACTGGATCAGTGCGTTCTCTTAAAGTGACAGCACTTTCTTAATGTTAATCAAACAGCAACAACACGGAAATCTCTCACTGCTCTTGATTGAATAACTTTTGTAACTTTAATAAGGATTCATCTTTAATTTATACAGTGAAATATGCAATGTTATTTTACCTTTGATTTATTCAATTTCTGTACCTAAAAACTATGTAAGATCTACCTAAAAAAACTGAAAAGCACTGTTTATTTTATTTGTATCTTTCTTCACTGTTTATTTATTTGTGCTGTTGCTTGTAGTTAGATTATTTGTTCTTATTTTCTTTATTTTTATTTGACAATATAGGTTTTTTTCCCTAAACATAGCTCGTACTGAACCGTACCGAAACCGTGACTCTAAAACCATAATATAAACCGAACCGTGAGTAAGTTGAACTGTTGCACCCCTAATATATATATATATATATTCATTTTCAAATATATTTAAATTGAAATATTATGTATGTGCCACCAGGCCTAAAAACTAACAATAAAATATCAATATAAATATAAATATTGAAAGGCATTTGCATCTGCTGCCCCTGAAACATATTTCTATTATATGTATTACATAAACATATTTCTATTATATTTATATTACCTTTAAGTAGTTTTAGAAGTCAAAAACATTTTAAATTGAATTGTTGTCATCTCTGTAGTTTGAAATTTATGTGACTTTTGTTCCATTATAAGGTTTTATGGTACTATTTTGGCCAGGTTTGAAAAGATTTTAAACTCAAGGGACTAGCCTGGTCAAATAAAGGTTTAATGATAAAAAAAGAGTAAGATTAAATTTCACCTGAACACATATCAGTGTTATTTTAATATTTATATACTATTATAGAGTAGTATTTATCAATTTAGCTTTTATTTTTTATATGCTTTCATTCTAATTTTAGTTTTAGTAGTTCTATTATATGTGACCCTGGAGCACAAAACCAGTCTTAAGTCGCTGGGGTATATTTGAAGAGTTCAGATGCAAAAGCCTCTAAGTGCCATCTGAAATGTTCATCTAAAATGAGGATTTTTAGCAGGCTCCTACGTTTATGTTCAGTTATTTCACTTTAATTGTATAGAAAAGGACCTATACATTGCCATTAGAGTAAAATTACTGAACCTAAACAGAGGAGCCTGCTAAAAATCCTAATTTTAGATGAAAATTTCAGACGGCACTTAGAGGCTTTTGCATCTGAACTCTTCATTTGTAGCAATAGTCAAAAATACATTGTATGGGTCAAAATGATCGATTTTTCTTTTATGCCAAAAATCATTAGGATATTAAGTAAAGATCTTGTTCCATGAAGATATTTTGTAAATTTCCTACTGTAAATATATTAAAACGTAATTTTTGATTAGGAATATGCTTCGCTAAGAACTTCATTTGGACAACTTTAAAGGCGATTTTCTCAATATTTTGTACCCTCAGATTCCAGATATTCAAATAGTTGTATCTTGGCCAAATATTGTCCTATCCTAACAAACCATACATCAATGGAAAGCGTATATTTATTCAGCATTCAGATTATGTATAAATGGCAATTTTAAAAAATGTACCCTTATGACTAGTTTTGTGGTCCAGGGTCACATATGCTTTTGTCATATTCAGTGTTTTTTTTTTTTCCATTTAACTTTATTTTTATTTCAGGTAAAATTTAAAGAAATTTTAATTTGAAAAATCTCAAACTCATTTTATTTCAGTTATTTTGTTTTATTTAGCTTGAATGAAAAATTGTAATAGTTAATTTTACATATCCTCCAGAGAAAGTTTAAACACATACCTGTGTGATCCATGGTGGTGATAATGATGGTTGTGAGGATGCTGTTGAGGTATGGGATGGTAATGTTTGTAAATTTTCACCTCATCCTCTGAGGAGCCACGCACAGGTGTGAAGTATCTTTCCATCTCATACACTTGCAACACTATCAGTATTTAGCTTCGTTACTCTGTTGATGCCTCCCTTGCAATTTCTGAAAATGATTTTTTAGCTCTGATTTGGGCATGTGATCCTTGTAGCTTTTTGGGGTCTGTTTAAAATTTGTTTTGAAAGTTCCAGTAATCTGAAGAATGAATGATCTTCTAAAGAAATATATTCAAAAGTGCATCCTTTGACAAGCAGATGTTTCTTCACCAGGCTCGAGCAGCTGATTGAAACAGGTCTAATGCTGCCAGGGTTTTCTGTCACCCAATACCCATCTGATTCTAATGTAATGACTCCTCATTGAGGTCAGTGAAAAAACGGGGGGAGAACACAGATGGAACACAATCGATCAGGCTTTGGTCATGGACGTTGATGGAATGGACATCGCATGACATATAGGCTATTTGGGTCACGTACACAAAACGGTGTGAATGAAATTCATAAGGCTACTTAGTTACATCACAATGGATTTATTGGATGACATTTATTTATATTTAATGGCATAGACAAATTGTTCCTTTTCATATGGCATCCATGTCACATCCTATCACCTATTTACATTTTAAACAACATGCTATATTTTTCTTTATAATGCATAAGTGTAGTTGACATGGACATTTTGTTAATTTATACAACTTCATAAATTCACTGAAAAGGCGAAAAAAATAAAGAAATTATGACTATTTACAGCACATAAAATACACATTTGCCCTTATACAGTCAGATGTTAACCTAAAATCTTGATGTTGCTTGCACCAACTACCCATAAAACATATATACATCAGTCACCTTCCATTTGTGATGCTCATGTCCAGAACACATGGAATCTGATATTTAAAGACTGATTAAAAAATAAAGACTAATACATCAACACACTGGCTGAAGGTTTTCATTCAGGTCATGACCGATAGGGTGTATTCATGGGCAAATGGACTTTACTTTAAGAATGTTACGTGATTAGTGTGAGGTCGGTGCCATCTAGTGGTTAACTTTCAAATGAAAACCCAGGCCCAAAATATGCAGATCTTTCCACACTTTTCCATTCGTCACATTAAGATCTTCTTTATTTTAATACGTTTTTACACACCATGTTGTGACGCAAAATGGCACAAAATGACACGATGGAATAAAACGAGACAATGTGATATATCAGCAGTAGGTCGGAAAGTTCCTGAACCATGATGGCGAATCTGCGAAGTCTTTTCAAAAGCTGTCGCACAAACGACGACAGCCGCCGAGAATGAATCACTGCGTTGTGTAAATCTGTAGGAACGAAAAACTAATTGTAACATTTACATCAATTTTGGAGATTAAATAGTGGCATTTAACTTGGATGATCCCTGAAACCTAAACCCAAAACGATTGTGTTAGTTTAGCGCCGTGTAATATAAACCCGTTTAACAGATTATGCTTACTGAGCACTGAAAGCTTTGTCACTAAGCAGGTTTCTACCGGCCCCTTACATGATGAATGCTTAGACATAAACAGGCAGTCCACTGGTATTTCGTGTTTTTAAGTGCATTTGTGTCGCCCATCCCCCTTGTCCCGGTGTGAAGGTCAGCACAAATACCAGAGAGGGGCCGTGCTGGAGTCTCGCTTGCCCCGCACCCACTCTTTCAACGTGGGATAAAGAAACGAGCCCCTTCTACATACCTTCACAGCGAATTCAGTTTAAATGCACCTTTATTCATTTAATCGGAAGCAGTTTACAAGTGAGAAAAGTACAGCACTAGGTCAAAACAAAAACAATGGACAGAATATCTCATTTGTCATGATGGGCTTTATTTAACCTTCTAAAGTATAATGTATATTTCTTGACCTCCCCAAAAAACTGGGTTGTTTTCGCATAACTTTCCATCTGGATTAAACTAGAACATTCTGGCATTTAGTTGATCTATCGCCTTTTTTAAGCCAAACGTGTTTCACGCATGCGCATTGGGGCACTGCAGTAGAATGAAAAGAAGATCCGTGCACTAAAACCGGTTTTAGCCGGATTGAAAGATGGGGCTTGTGTTATCCGTGTTGTATTCCTCCGCACTGCGCTTCTGACGTAACTGTTGTTGTTTGAAAAGTACATTTGTGATGAATCACCCTGCGTTTCTGGGCAGCTGCGACCGATGATCTTATAGAAATGGAAAATGGTGGGGGAATTCCTTTTAGAAAACTTTCCATGTCATCTGCTTTTAAATTTGGTGAACGTTTGCGTTCTAATTCGACTTTGTGTCTTATATGAGGTGTTTACACGATGTATCATTAAACCATGATATTTTGTTTTTTAATTACATGCCCAATTTCACTTATAACAGTATTCATGAGTGTTGATAGCAACATATATTTGGCGGGTCTGTATATCTCTGAAACAAGTCTAAAAATAGCATTCAAAATTCCTTTGAGAGGAACTGTTTTTTTATCACACGGCGGAAGGAGCTGAAACCGACCGCCTCACTGAGGTCTATAAAAACCGTGGCAACAAGAAAGCGCATCACGACGGGACGGGGCGAGGCGCAAAGGAAGGCAGGCAGGCAGGGAGGGTTGATCTGGTGATGTGATTTCGTTTTATGCCATTGTACTTTTTTGACGATAATTTAGAGACACTATTCTTTGTCAACTTTCTTTCGCTTTCAAGCTTATACTTTGTTACAGTTGACTATACTAAGGCTTTCTACTAATTACGTTTAGCGTGAAGAAGATTTAACGAAAGCTATTTTTATACGTTAAAAGTGCTTTTTTGACGAAATGATTGGCTAGAGGGTTGATCTGGTGATGTGATTTCGTTTTATGCCATTGTACTTTTTTGACGATAATTTAGAGACACTATTCTTTGTCAACTTTCTTTCGCTTTCAAGCTTATACTTTGTTACAGTTGACTATACTAAGGCTTTCTACTAATTACGTTTAGCGTGAAGAAGATTTTAACGAAAGCTATTTTTATACGTTAAAAGTGCTTTTTTGACGAAATGATTGGCTAGACTTTTTCTAATAGGAAAGAAAAACTATGAAATAAGCAATTCTATGTAATAGAATGGTATGCTGATTTTACTATTAGCTAATGTTCAACCAGCTGAATAATAGCTTAAACAAAGCACAGCTATGACCGTGTTATCCTATTTTATTAAGCTAGTTTTAAATCTATTCTTCTTTCAATGAGATTTTTATGAAGTGCCTTGACTTAAGAAGCTTTTTTTCGATACTTGCTTTCTCATTCTTAATGTCAGCAACGCCTTTACAAAATGGCGGTCGCGACGGCAAGCAGATGCATGATAGCGAGGGCGAACCATAGACTGTATAAAAACGGGCGATCAAGTCTACAACAAGCCTACAGTAGATTTTTTATATATATATATATATATATATTAAAAAAAAGCTTATGTTTCTTTTGTCTGCAAACCATAACATAACAATCAGTAACCGCTTACTGCTAAGATAAACACCAGACAGTCAGAAAATTAGTCTTTTTATTTCTTTTTGAAGCCTTTGGAGAAGCCCGTCTCGTTGCTTTTATTAGGAAGAAACTATTGAACATCAAGTGAGTTTATACTTGGGAAGAAATGGACGATGCTTAGTCGCAGCTTATTTGTTTCTGAAGATTTTTGTTTTTTACGTAAAACCAATATTTCGACCACCAATTCATAAGTCTAAACCATTATAATCCGCTACTATGACCACTTCTGCGTGCTTGAACGACCCACCTAAGTTACATGATCGCTTTTATGGACTGAGTCACATGTTGCGTAACAGCTGTGAAATGGGAGCTTAGCTTGTTTTTCATGATCCTAAAATATCAGCAAAAGACTGAAGTACGGCGTAAAGGAGAAATGGACTGAGTTTAATTTATCCAGTAACGACCTAGCGCTTAGATGACAACGGATGGAAGAAAAGATCCACAGCAGAGGCCAGGACCAGGGAGAATCAGGACAAGATGGCGAGCCAGGCAGGACCAGAGGGGAACCGGGGAGGATCAGAGGGCACAGAGCAGGGCGAAGATCAGCAACAGCAGCAGTATCCAGATGGGGGAGCCAGATCCACAAGGCAGATTAGCGTCAGAACAACTTTCGCCACCAGAGGGAGCTCAGCTGGTCTAGATCAGAGCAAGCCAAAGATGAATGTCCCAACAACAGCAGCAGAGAAAGAAAGAGGGCTCACAAGCAGAGAGTATCAGGGGTCTTCGCCATAGCAAAGTCATGGAGAGGGCATTTGGTTTGTATGGGTAGAGGTATCCGGTGTAATATTGAAGTCATTTCAGTAGTTTGCATTCCAGAACACTTTTGCTCGCGAAGTTCTGTTCTTTCCTTTTCAGGCGTGGTGAGTGACACTGTTTGAAATTCCGATGTGTCATCTTTCCTGTTGTTGGCCAAGTCTGATGAATGGCGTTAGTGTGCTGTGGAGATGACCATCCTTAATCGACCACGCCTCCGCTACGTTTTGGCTATAGGCCCGTGGAAGAGTCGTCCCTTTATCCGCTTAAATCCATTAGGTCTGTCCTGAGAAGCAATCTACATGCGAAGGGTTTTTCGGAGTTGAAGTTCCCCTGCGTCCCTACACGGCACAACTACCTCTACTGCCACCGCCGCTGCGTCAGTCCGACATATGATGCCAGGGCAGCTGCGTATTGCCTGCCGGTAAAAATTTTGACGAGTTCATGCATGAATTTTAATGATATATTAAAGCAACAGCGCTTTTATTGATAAAAAAAGGAAAACGCAACGCATTCTTTGTATTAAAACAAAAAAAGCGCTATTAAAGTATTAACATACAGATTTTGCAAATGCAGTTTCTGAGTAGTGGCGTAATGTTATTACACAGTGTTTTGGGGGTTTGGGAGGGGCAAATGCGTTTCTCGAGTTCTCTTTCCCACAGGCCCTGGTCACATTAGAGGCGATAGAACGAAAAGGGATTCCAGGATGTTGTGTGGACCCTTTTAAAGTCAAATTGTTGACTCCTCTGTAACGATTCTTGCAAAGCTACCAGGAAAGCCTCTACTTTGATGGCATTTAGGAAGGTACCTCATTGAATTTAAGTCGTGTTTGGAATTGTGAACCATATACTTGCATAAATATTTTCCAGTATTTAATGTCTGGGATTGTCATGGGCAATGGGGTGGGAGGGGTGTGGGCCGTTAACCCAAATCTTTTCCTAGACTTTGCAGCTTGTGAAAGCGGCTTTATTTAAGGGTGGCAGTGGCTTGAATAGCGCTGTATGGGGGAAGGAACCACCAGTGTGTCTGCCAGTGGATGAGTGGCCCTGTTACAAGCCTTCCATGGCAGCTAGACCAGCGTTTACATCTTTGGTAACGCGGCATGGGATCAAATGCTTCCATTTATTTAACACATCATGATGGCACTCTTTTGTCTCATTATTGAATGGTGTATCGATATTGGTTGTATGTATTGATATTGTTTATGGGGTTTGTGTATTTTGGGGGGGATTGCTTAATTTTGACTCTTACAGATTGAAACAAAGCCCCCCCCCCCCCCCCCCCGCCCCCCCAGCT